TTGAATAAATTTGAAACCTTGAGACCATTCGCCTGTCCACAATCTCGAACAACGTTCACTCGTTCTCTCGTCACTCCGATGAGCGTTGACCAAGGATTTTCTAGATTCATTTTTATTCTTTCAGGTCTGAAAACTGAAAAATGAGACAAATTCCAGGATTCAATGTGAAAAATGGACACCAAAAGATCACAAAATGGACACTGTACAATAAATTCTTGCTCGACCACCCTCCGATCTAACACTTATTACCAATCCAATCGGACTTTTCCTAAGAAAAACTATTGTTGAACAGTTACCATTGCCTGAATTTTGAGTCTTTTATTGGTATTCAAGTTTCTTGCCAACTTCATAGTTGATTTTAGTTAGATCTTTTGAAAATGCTTCCCAGTTTATACTGGACAATAAATTCTTGCTTTTTAAATTTCCTGTTTTCTGTTTAAGATCAATAAAACAATTCCACTTTATTTGTTAATTCTGGTTAAAGGAATTCCTCATCGTTTTTCTAAATTCTCTTCAATTTCATAATCATTTTGCCTGTCATTTTTTGCCTTAAAAATGAATAGACCAGACTTTTCTTTTCTATTCTATTGCCTTTACTAAAATAGCTGTAAAAACTTTTAGAAAAGAGATATCTCAAAACGGTTTTTACCAATCGATCCGTCTTGAATTCAGCTTTAGGATGAGCTATAAAACGTCAAAATTCGACAAATTTAAGGTACTCTCCCAAAAAATCGGAAAGAACTTTTCCACCAACCCAATAGTAACAATGTAAAGGATATCTCAAAAATTATGGTGACGCAATTTCTTTTTTTGAATTTCGCATAGTTTTCTGCGCTATCTTTTCAAGTTTCAAGATTCTAGATTCCATTTGGAACATTCTTGGCACATTTATGTATTGGGTTGAGACACTGCCCCGGCTAAACACCGTGGAAAACCTCCCCTCCCCGGTTTAATTACCCAAGTTTCTGGTTTTCAATGTTCATTTAAATTCGGTAGTTTTTGATTGGATAAAAAGTACAGGGCTTGGAATTCAGGAAAGTACAATTCGTTCTTCTATTGGGTTGAATGAGCTATAAAACGTCAAAAGTGGACAAATTTAAGGTACTCTCCCAAAAAATCGGAAAGGACTTTTCCACCAACCCAATAATTTGTCTCATTTTTCAGTTTAGCATCTCAAAGCTCAATCCAAAATGAATTGAAGAATTCAGTGCACCAGAAAAAAAGTGTTTACATTGTTTTTTTTGAGTACAATGTACGCTAGAAAGCGCAAGAAGCAGTGAAAGTTCAAATTAAAATCAAATTTGAAACTCTTTCACATAAAAAAATAGGATTTAAACCCAGTTCAAGGTCATCAATTGAGAAAAAAAAGGAAATAAAAGCCTACTTTTCTTGCGCAATAGAAATTACAAAAGAAAAAAAAGCTCAAAAACGACTCTTTTTAACAAAGAAATCGATATTTCAATAAAATTTAAAATTTAAAAACAAAAAAATATTAATTTAAACTATTGTTGATCTTTTTAAAATCAATTTTTCATTCAACTTTCTTCAGAAAATTTCCTTGCAACACATTTTTCGTCAGCTATTTTTCTCAGCTCAGCGATAGCGATAGCTCAGCGACAAATTTGATTGCTAAAGAAAAATTTTTGCGTGATGCAACGGTATTTGGAGAAAATTTGATCAAAAATAAAAATTTGAACATTTTTCTGCAGCATCAGTTGATTCTTCGGATGTACTTTGTGTAAATGTGTAAACTTACCCTTTCTGGTACACCTGATTTAGTTGCTTTTGTCAACTGTCAACTGTCAATTGGTTTCCCCAATCAACTGGTCCCATTTTTTCGTACTTTGTGCTCCTTTTTAGGCTCCCTTTCTGGTGCACTCGATTCCTCACTTTCTCTTGACATTGAGCTAGAAATACAACATTAAGTGAGCTAGAAGGAGCGTGTTTCGAAACTTTTCGAGTACAAAGTACACCTGCCAATTACAGTCCAATTTGTGAGTCTTTTAATGTTGCAAGTTTTTAAATACTCGGCACAAAGCGATTTTCCTGTTGCCATAGAATTTGATATCTGTGTGAGGCTAAACACGTTTTAAATTCATTTTCATCCTTTTCAAGTTATAGTATCCTTTACTGGCTTTAAATTTTAAGCTAAACCTCCGTCGATAAAGAATCTTCGTTCTTAAACCTTGATTACTGTACTGCTATTGACTTTCTATACGGTAAACTAGATTAGGTAAGCTAGAATTTTCTATGATATCTTTTCTATGATCTACAAAAGCTTTCGTAGTCTACTTTGCCTGAATGTTGAGTTTTTATTGGTATTCAAGTTTCTTGCCAACTTCATAGCTTATTTTAGTTAGATCTTTTGAAAATGCTTCCCAGTTTATACTGGACAAGAAATTCTTGTCCAGTATAAACTGTCCAATTCTTCTTTTCTATGATATCTTTTCTATGATCTACAAAAGCTATCGTAGCCTAGTTTGCCCTATCGTAACCAATTCCTACAATAGCTACCGTAATCTTTACTTTGATAGATAGAATACTCATATCTCAAGAAATTTGAGAGATTTGTTTACACTTTGATATTTTTAATGTTTTAATGTTTTAAAGCTTTTTTCTAGAATGCCTCGAAGCCAATCCGAGAGCTCGAGCAGCGAGTGGGAAGTGGAAAATGGCGTCGAGAGAGAAGCGCCGATAACCGATGACGTGGATTTGCTCTTTGGGAATTACTTAGATCAATTGAAAGTGAGTTAGAGGCTTAAATCGAAATCTTTATAAATGAACTGAAGGAGTATTGTAACTTGCATGAATTGGAGGCCTTTAGTTCAGTTCTGCCCACTCTTTCTTTGCCATTCCTTACTTTGCTTGATTACTAATGCCCGTGTTCTGCCCACGATTGTGCAGATTCGAGTATTTCCGTCTCTTTCTTGCTTTCTCTTCCCTCATGTATTTCCTCTTTCTTCTCTGACATATAGCTCAGTGGTAAAGCATCTGCCCGGTAAACAGAAGTTCGAGGGTTCCAGTCCCCTCGGTTTCAAATTCTTTGCCATTCATTTCTTTACTTTATTGCAGTTTACAGTAGACAATCGCATTGAATCGAATTGAAGAATTGATCAAGTATAAAGAGCCGTTTTAGGGGTCCGTTTAAGAGGTTAACTCAAGCCGGCCTGTCTAAGCAGCCGTGGCCAATTGGTAAAGTGCTCGAATATGAGACAAGAGACTTGAATTCGAGTCCCGCTACAGTATTTTTGTTTGCTTGCATAACTTTTTCCAAGTGTAGTCTATAAAAAGCTATGAAGAAAGTATAGAATTCAAGTTTTAAAATGAAAAGTAATTTCTTGATCATTTTGTTTAGGTGATCGACCATTTCCCTAACGAAAGTGAGGTAACGAGAGAAGCCTACCGCTATCAAGCGCAAGAGGTATCGATTTTTGTTCTCTTTTTCAGTGCTTTCAATTCCTCAACAAATTTGTGATCTAGTAAATATATGAGAAATGAAATTGGAAAAGATTAAGATCATAAAACGCTTATCATTTCCCCAAAACAATATTTTTCGAAAGGAAAATACGGATGGGCGAACTTTTGCAAGGATACGAAATAAAAAATGTTTAAATAGAGATCTTGATTACTGATTTTATCTTACATTTTCCTAAAATTAGCATTGAAATTTGGTCTAGGATCTCTTCTCAGCCGTCGGAAAACTCGACAACGTGAACAAGGCGCTGGAAAAAGTGAACTATTTGCTGCAGAGAAAGGTTTGCTTTATCGGAAATAAAAAGGTTTTTTAAAAATTTATATAATTCTAGAGATCCACCGATTTGAGTCCACAAATTCTTCAAGAAGTGCACCGATTGAAGCTTGAGCAACAGCAACAATTGGAGGGATCAAGTGTGGAATTGATTGAAGAAAGGATTCAAGTACTCGATGACACGGCTACGGTAAATTTTAAGCTTTAGATAGATTAGAAAAACTTCTATAAGATAAAAGTCTTTAGAAAAGAGTTTTAAAAAGCTTTAGATATTGGTTTGACCTTGGATTTGATTGGTTTGATTTGATTTGATTAAAAGTTGAGCATTTACTGAATCTAGTATCATAAAGCACAAAGTTTCTTTACAAGGAACCTACTAAAGAATGTTAAATAAAGAATTGCGTATGCAAGACACGGTGTGTTTACGTTTAAAGCACAAAGTACATTCAGCCTTGCTTTCAGGAGACATCAGCCGAAGGAAACGAAGATCCACAGCCAAATCCGGGAGATGACAAGGAGCCAAATATTGAGGTAATCTTACATTTGATAAATGACACACAATTTTGAATATAAATAACGTTTACATACAAAACAAATACAAAAGTTCAGCCAGAAACGAATCTCGTTCAATTATTCGATATCACTGAAGACGGGGAAACCATCTTCAATAAAGAAGTCCTCGACGATCTCTGTGATCAGATCGGTGATAGACCGGTTGGTTCTTGAAAATGAAGAGGAAAATGTGAAAACTAGATGCTTTTGAAAACCTAGATACTTTGCAAACTAATTAAAAATATAAAACTTTTCAGGTTTCCATCATTTCAACAGCCGGAAAATTTCGACAAGGGAAAACCTTTTGGAACAATGTTTTGTTGAAAGGGCTTCAACAGGGAAAAGCCGATTTTAAACCGACTGACTATATTGGGTATTAGATTTAGAACTAGCTACATGCTTAGCTAGGTACTGTACTCTATTACAGTATCCTTTAGTTACAGTATACCTCAGCTACTGTATACTTCTGTTACAGTTTCCTTTAACTACAGTATTCTTTAGCGATAGTATCCTCCAGCTACAATAGAATACGGTTAGCTAGTGTAGTTTTGTAAACAGATAAGTACAGTGCTTGAGGCTGTCGAGGTAAAATTGTACAACAAATTCATTAACGAGACATTAGTTATATGTAAATTTTTGTTTTAGTGGTCATGACCGTATCCGTTTTCAATCTGGATACATTCGGCACACAAAGGGGATCATGGTTTGGCCAAAGGTTTTCATCAGAAAAGATAAAGAAGGAAATGAGGTAAATATAGATAATTTCCATTTAAAATATGATATCATTGACATTCTAGCTGGCCGTCATCCTCATGGACACTCAAGGCACATTTGACACGACGAGTGACATGATCGATTCGGCGATTATCTTTTCGATCTCACTCCTTATGTCTTCCATCAAGGTAGAACTTGTTTTGAGGTTTCAGTTTCAAAGAAGTTTAAAGATTTTCAATGTTCGAACTCAAATCGACGCCCAGGATCTGGATTCGCTGAATCTTTTCCTTGCCTTCAGCCAAAGGACCGATGAAAGGGCGGGACAGGTAAATATTAAATCTAAAAATCAGCTACTATTTTCAAATATAGAAATTTCATTCCCAATAAGGCTAGCTATGGCCTGGTACTGTCATGAACTGGACTGGTCTTAAGACGGCTTGTCCCTGGCCTGGTCTGGCCTAGCTAGACCCTACCGTTGCCCAAACTTGCCCATTGACCTAGTCCGGTTCTAGCTTACTATGACCTTCAGCTTAATATTAGTTCTTAGCCTCGCTCAGCTCGAGTTGACTCTAAAAGTTCTAAAGCCGATCCTGGCCCGGTTCTGACCTGCTAATCTTTATCAATAATCTTCCAGCACTTCATCATCATGATCCGAGACGCACTCCAATCCGGTTTTCAACCATCATACATCGAGACTCTTCATGTGAGTCGAGCTTCAAATTTCAGGAAGTTTGAAAATAAATCTAAAGTTTTATAGGCTCAAACGAGACGAGCTCCTGAATTGAAAAAGCTACTTGAGGGGATCTTTTCGGCTTTCGAAAAAGTCGAGTGTTTCATGGCGAAAACCCCGAGTGAGCATGTGCTGAGTGCGAGTGGGGAGATTAAAGCTCAAGGTATCGAATAAATTTTAAGCAACGGCTAGGGTTACGGTAGCCGATTTGGTGACTAAAGGGTTAAGGTTATGGTAGCCGATCCAGAGACCAAAGGGTTAAGGTTACCGTAGTTCTCAATAAACGATTACAGATTGCGGTGATCGATTCCTGGGAGATCTCTGCGAATGCGCAAATCATGTGCTTGAGAATTTGGTCCCAAAGACGTTCATGGGAAATCATCTCACAGGGAACACGTTAAAGCGATACGTTGAGGTTGGCGAAGCTTCTATTTTACAGAATAGCTTAAAGCTTGATTATCTACTAGCTTTTTTAGAACCTCGTCGATCACATCAAAGAGAACAATCACAAGGCGATCGGCTCAGCTTTCCAGGTCAGTTTCACTATCTTTGATCAGCTACAAGTCATCAGTTAGGTTTTATACCATTATCATAGTCAATTCAAATCATCTATAGGCTACTTCCGAGCTCTTCTTCGAAAAAGCCAAAGCAGCCGCAGCTGAGTACTTCGCCGCAGCACACGATCAGGTAACTTCAAGCTTTTTCGGGTTTACGAACTTTTTCAAACACCGATTCATGCCTTAAAAAGTACCGTAATCTAAGCCTTGTCTTTACAGTAATCCTTATATTGATTGTCTTTACAGTAATTCTTATACTATTAAATATCTTATAACTTGTCTCAGCTGATGCGCGAGTCCGGGCATCAGCCAATAAATCCAAAAGAGTACGAAGAGACACTCAAGAAATTCGTCGATGAAGCACTTCAGGTAAAAAAAGCAGCATAAAAAAAGAGAAAAATTTGATCTAAAGATTTAGGATACAGCCGAAAACCAGAAATATATTCATTAATATTTTCAGGAATACAGTTCAAAACCACTCTTTGGGACTCAAGAAGTTAAAGAGAAAACTTTCTTGGCGTTGAAGGAGTCTTTAGAGGTGAGTGGAGTGGAATTGGTATTGAAATTTAGGAAAGAATTTTATAAGTAAAGAATTATCAAATATTTTCCTAATATTATTGTTATCTTTAGAAATACTACTATTGAATCTTTAAATAACTTTGGATTAGCTCTATCCGAACCTATCCTTAAAGCAAGTAAAGCAAAGCTGAGCTAATGCAAAACAATCGTCAGATATGAGATGGGTTTATATGATCTTAAGCCTTGAATATTAGTTAGCTGAATATTAGTTAACTGAATATCATTTAACTTATATTATTATTGGATATTAATTAACTGGATAGTATCTCTGATTATTAGCTTTTGTTTTAGGAAAAATGCCAAGAGAAGCTGCGTAGCAATCGGAGCCGTTTCCGCGATTTTTTGATGGCCGATGCGGTGCATCAAAGCTCAGAGTGTTACGAGAAAGGGATGAAGGTATGAAAATGAATTTGTCTTTTCTTGAAATTTAGTCTTCAGCCAGACTTCGGGGATTCCCTTCTTGGAAAAGCTACCGTTGAACAAGTGAAAGATCGACACGAGAAAGCCTTTCCTGAAGCAATGTCACTTTTTGAGAATGGTTTGTCGTTTATAGACTTAGATTTAAGCTTTAAATTTAAGATTTATAGCTTTAGATTTAAAGATTTAAGTGTACTTTTTCTTACAAATATAGAAACACCACCAATCTAGCGCTCTTGTTTTCTTTTTATCGAAATAACTTGCTTTAAGGAAGGATCAGTGCACCAGAAAGGCTGTGTTTACAGATTTAAGCACAAAGTACACATCTGATTTCCAATTATAGCAGTTATTGGTGTTAAAGCATTGAAAATTGACCAGAAAGTTGACCAAATTGAGGAGTACTTTGTGGTGGAAACACACCTTTTCTAGCTCACCAACTCGGCACTTGAAAGTTGCCAATTTTAGTGCACCAGAGATGGTATTTTGCAGGTTTAATCGCAAAGTACATTTTTAGTTTCTTTTCCTAACAATTATCCGGGTTTTTTCAGCTGTTGAGCCTTTCAACGATGAAGTGGATTTGATCGAGTCTAAGAGAAATCTTCTCACTAAGATGATTTTGGTTGGTTTAGAATTTGATGCAGAAATCTTAGAACTTGTAAATGTTTACTGGTGATGGTACTTTTAAACTGATTTCAAGTCATGAATTCAGACTCGTTTCGAGGATCTCCAAAGTGACAACCTCGTCGTTCAACTCAACACATCTTTGGATTCAATGATCAACGCGCTTGCAGACAATTACGGAAAATTTTTGAAAGAGGTAGCTAGCTGTCTGCTTTTGCAAACGCACACCTTCTGGGCACCTAATTCACCCAATTTCAGCAAGTTCCATTGGTCAAGAAATTAGACGAAATCGGATTGTTTATCGAACGCGGGATGAACGCTTTGAATACAAATTTTGAAGCAAACAAGGTAAACTGCAGGAATTGGCAGCCTTGCTGACTTTGCTCTACAAAAACAACACACTAGAAACTCTTTTAATTTGTTATCAATCTGCCGAATTGAGACGATCTATAGCTTAAAGCCGAGAGGGTAGAGTCTTTAAAATGCTTTAAGTCTTTGCTTTAAGGCTTTGCTTTAAACAGCTCTTTCCTGGCGGCGACTTAAGTCACCTTAAGTGTGTGTCTGTAACTTAAGTAACTTGCTATCAATCTACCGGATTGAGACTATCTATAGCTCAAAAAATAGAGAATCTCAAGAGCTTTCGAATGGACTAAAGTATACGCAAAAATCTCAATCCTAAAGAAAGTTACAATGGTTTGAAGTTGAAATGAGCCGTACTCGAGCGTAGTCAAGCTACTAACTATAGCAATGCTAAAGGAAGTTACGATGTTTTGTAGCCTGACTCAATCGTTTCGACTACGCGCGAGTACGGTTCGTTTCGAGTCAGGACTATAAACCACTGTAACTTTCTTTAGCGTTGATTTTTTTGAGTGTGCTTTAGTTCATTCGAAAGCTCTTGGGATTCTCTATTTTTTAAGCTATAGATAGTCTCAATCCGGTAGATTGATAGCAAGTTAGAAGCGTTTTTAGTTTACGTTTATAGTTACCGACAGATTTTGTGGCTAGGTTTGTAGCTTGTAGTGCTCATGTCTAGCCTATAACTAGACTATTACATTTCAGGCTCAATTCATCATCGACATTTCTCAACTAATGCCGAAAATTGATTTGAACATGCTCCGTCAAATGATTGACAACTTCAAGGATGCGAAGAGACCGCTGTTTCAGGTAAAGATTGATTGTAGAGTGTTAGATGTCAGTTTTAGCGATGCGAGGACTACTTTGAGTCCGAGGTTCGTGCGCATTTCAACATGGAAAAGCTGAGGAACAAGATGATCGATATGAGACATCGACAAAACGAAGCACAGAAAAGATTGCAAGCGGAACAGGGGAGAATCCAAGAACAACTCACCGATACACAGCAACAATTGGGTGAGCATTTCGACGAAAACTTGGTGCTACAGTAGACAGAGAAATGAGTATGGTAGACTAGGTCACTCTTTAGAATGTCGTCAGTGCGCCTTTCGGAATGCCCTACTGTAATCAATGCGCCTTTCAGAATGGCCTACTGTAGTCAATGCGCCTTTCAGAATGCCCTACTGTAGTCAGCTCACCTTACAGAATGTCCTACTGTAGTCAGTGCACCTTCTAGCATGCACTATAGGTCATAAAATTCTTCTAGAGTACCGTAATGTGTTAAATTTGATTAGAAGTTTTCTTTCAGATGAAGAAAAACGCAAACGAGAAGCAGCTGCGAAGAGCAACGATTTGAATCCAATATTCTTCCTGTTCAAACAAATGAATGAACAGACGCAACAGTACGTGATTTTACAAAAATTCAATTAAAACTTGATTTAAACAAATGAAACGCTTTTATTAAACGCTTTTAGACAACTTGAAAACGCGCGTGAAGAGCGGCAACGAAAAGAAATGAGAGAAGCACAAGAAGAGGCGAATCGACTCGAGAAAGAAGGGAATGAGGCGAGGATTCGGATGGAGGTGAGAATCTGGATTAACAATGATTAGAAAAAGCATTCCTATGCAATTTTGCATCAATAAATTGAATGTAATTGTAGCAACGAAGAGCGGACAACGAGAGAAACGAAAGAAACCGCGAAGAGGATCGAAATGAACGAGGAGCCGAGAGGGTAGAGTCTTTAAAATGCTTTAAGTCTTTGCTTTAAGGCTTTGCTTTAAACAGGTCTTTCCTGGCGGCGACTTAAGTTACAGACACACACTTAAGGTGACTCCCAGTGCACTTGGTGTTCCGACAAAAGTCGTCACACAGTGCACTGGGAGTCACCTTAAGTGTGTGTCTGTAACTTAAGTAACTTGCTATCAATCTACCGGATTGAGACTATCTATAGCTCAAAAAATAGAGAACCTCAAGAGCTTTCAAATGGACTAAAGCACACTCAAAAACATCAACGCTAAAGAAAGTTACAGTGATTTATAGTCCTGACTCGAAACGGATCGTACTCACTCACGCGTAGTCGAAACGATTAAGTCAGGCTACAAACCATCGTAACTTTCTTTAGGATTGAGATATTTGCGTCTACTTTAGTCCATTCGAAAGATCTTCGAATTCTCTTTTTTTAAAGCTATAGAGCGTCTCAATCGGGCAAATTTGAAGAAACTTAGAAGCGTTTTTAGTTTACGTTTATAGTTTTTAGTGCCAATGTCTATTCCATTCAATTCCAGGTTCGCAAAGAAGTCAACGATCGACTAGAAGAGACAAAAAAACGACAAGAAAAAGCGGCTGCTGAACAGAAAGAAAAAGAGGAAAAAGAAAGAGCTGAAAGAGAAAAAGGACTCATTCGGAGAGTCTGGGGATGGATTTATTAAAGAAATTGTCTTCGGAGGTTGTTTTAAACTGTGCTTTAACCACTTTTACAGTGTTTTTACTTGGATTTTATTTGATTCACTTTTTGCTGTTATTGTAAACTTTTCAACTGAACTTATCACAATGTTGGGCCTTCTTTTTGTTAAAATTATTTCATTTCGTATTATTAACGGTAGCGTTTCAATATAACCACTATTCTTTTATTCTAAAAAATATAGAAACACGATCAATCTGGTGTACTCAAATTTTCTTATCGAAATACTTTGCTGATATAAATGCGTGTATAAACTTTGCTTCTCTGAAACAATAGAAACTCAAAAACTGTACACTTTATTACAAAATTTGATTACAGAGCCAAGATTTATTAATGAAAAACGTTGTGCCAAACGGTTGGACTGCCGTATTTCACCGAATAATCTCTCTAGATTTGATATCCCTGTTAGCTTTGCTCCATGGTAAATGTTTGCGTAGATTCCAAAAATCGTAGTTTCAGAGCGATTCCAGCACTCTATCATAAAGAAAAACAGCTTTAAAAATCAAAAATTCTGAGTATCCCAACTTGTGCGCGCTGAAATGCGTCAAAAAAAAATACCGTATTTCTAAATATTAATATTACCATTGTGTAGCCCTTGAAAAGAGCTTATAGAAAATGTATAACACTAATATTTTAAATGTATAACACTAATATAACACTAATATTTTAAACTCAAAGACAAGGGAGATGCTACCTTTTTTTGCGCACCCGGGACATTTGCACACCTTTTTTTTGCGCACCCGGGATATTTGCGCACCTTTTCGCCCATTATAACAAGGACTGCCCTAGACCCATATAATCATTTTGTTAGATTACTATTAACGTGTAGTTTTAAGGGATTGGCGCGAAAGCGGCGTGATGCACTTTCCAAAGCGTGGATGCGCTACCGTACCCCCGCCCAAAATTTTTCCTTTTGCTATATTTTTCATTTTTTCATTTCATTATGGACTCGGAAACTTTCTGTTTGTTCAAATTTATGCCGAGTTTTCTTCCCTCCGTGAAATCAATTATGTTTTTGTCGCGCTTTTTTAAAGTGCTCTCCCCCCTCGTTCGTTCTCTCCTTTGTATATGGTTTGCCCATATTTGCTGTTTAAGTGTGTGTTAGGTAAGGGATTTGGTTACTCACTATTTTTTAGCCCCACTTGTCGACTTTTTGAGTTCTTTTTTTTGTTTTTCTGTTGGTGGACTTGCTAGAATTGTTGTTTTTTTAGTTGCGAATCGACGAATCGACTTCAAGAAGCTCGGAAGATGCAACTAAATTGATCAAGGTGCACTTTCTTTTTGCGTTTTACGTTTTTTCTATAAAGCTAGGGAGTGGAACAAATGCAACCTTTTTTGCGCACCTGACCCATTAGCGCACCTTTTTTTGCGTTTTAAAAAAGCTAATATTGATTAATTTCTATTCCAAAACTTGTTTTTCTGGATAATTTTAGGGCGTAGAATCCAAATTTTGACATGCCAGAGCTTGTGGAAGCAAACGGACGGAGTTATACATAGAGAAAAATCGACAATTTTCTGTAATTTTACCTACCCGTTTTGTCTTTCAAATTGATTCCATAAGCTCTGGTATGTCAAAATTTGGATTCTTTTTAGAGCTTTTTGAAAACGTGAAAAAGGGTGCGCTACCGGGTGCGCAAAAAAGCTGCTTTTAATTTTAAAGTTTATGAAAGTGAAAATTCTTGTTTCTTACAGGTGCTTGCAAAAAAAAAAATGTGGTCTTCTTGGCAAATACTCAGCTCAAGGCGGATGCATTATCAGCGAAGGTCATCATGCACACATGGTCCCGAACTATGGAAAAGAGGTTGGTCGTTAATCCTTAATCCTTAATCCTTAATCGCTCTATTAATAGATACGTGGTGTGAAGAAAATGGTTAAACATCACGCGGCAGTTGGCGTGCAGATACGAGAAATTGTTCGCGAAGACATTCGAGGAACCGACGATCATCTGAAACCGTTTATCAATGAGAAAGCTTTAACAAAGGCGGCAAAACGTTCGGCGAAGAAAGCAGCTCTGACTACATGGCCTCATAAAATTGATTGCTCGTCTTTTGGTTTGCTTTTAGTCTTTGCCGATAATTGTGTTTTTAGGTGCAACATTCGGGCGAGTTGATACGTGTCTTGGATATCAAAAAGGAGATTTGAACGCGCTCAAAACCTATGCGCATGATATTGGATTGGATCTACTTAGAAATGTGAGTTGCTTTTGTAAAATACTGTAACAAGTTAATACAGAATCGGACCTGGACGGCCGACGGCACTTTCTACGCTTGTCCCTCGGATTATTCATCGTCGGTGTTCAAGCAAGTTTTTGCATGTCCCAATAAATTGTTTTTTTTTTTAGATCGGGCATCTTTTTATTCCCTGTGCCTTTGCTTTGTTGAGCGGAAAAGCGAGTTTGTGTTAGGAGAGTTTTTCGATTTATCCTTTCACAGAATATTGCTTCACCAAATTGCTTAATGACAGGTTTGAAGCTTGTATGTGATTTTAACGATATTTTCTTTTAGATTTTGAAAGAGGCATCTATCAAGGCTTCCAACAAGTGTACGGAGGTGCTGTCCATCACAAGTATTGTGTTTTTCATTTCTACCAGAATATACTTCGAAATTTAAAGGTTTTTTTTCTTAGCTTTTTCTACAAATAACAATTTTAGAGATATGGGCTAAATTCGCAACTGCAAGCTCCATATGGAAAAATGCACCTGCACTCGACAATGGCCTTGTCGTTAGTTGATCCTCAAGAAGTTGCCGATTACTTTGACGCCCTCCTTGTTTCTTCGCGGAATGCAACGCCACCCAAAGTCAACATGGCTTAAAAGTTAAAAGTTAGTCTTTATTGCCTTATTTATACTTTGTTTCTTTAGAATTTTACAAATTCCTTACAAATTTTACAAAAACAAAAACTACATTGGAAAAGTTGTCAATGGGAACTTTCGCCGGCCACCCACGTCTCCTGTTGATAAATGGAATGTTTACAGTCGTGTTATCCAATCTCAGCAACTTGGTAGTGCAACACACGAGGCGTTTAATTCTTTATTGAAGGTTTGTTGGTAATTTCGGTATAATTTTTATTTATCTTTACTCCGGACCAAAGAGACCACATCCTGGTTACGTTGTGTGTCGGCTTTATGAGAAAACGATGAATGCTTTTAATCGCTTGACGCTTGCTACGACTCGCAACCTTTCGTTGGTACAACAATATCCTCAGAGTAAAAAGGTTATTTTTCGCCAAGATCAACGTTTTCACGCTGTTTTAAATGATAGAAACAATAGTGCCCATGTTTTACACTTGTCTCAATTATTGCCTCATATTGCATCACGTTAGTTGTTACTTGTCTCGCTTTGTTGCTTTTAGCTTTCCTTTCAATATATGTTATTCGTTATTTTTTTATGAATAAAATGTTATGTTTTGATTGATAAAATGCTTTGGATTGAAAAAACTACCATCAAAAAGACAGGAAAACAACCGATACCATCAAGAAATGAAAGCTATAAACCAATAGCAGGAAGAAAAACAAAAAGTGAAGCCAAGTGATCCTGTGGTTCTAGGGCAGTCCTTGTTATAATGGACAAAAAGCTTTTGTTCTAACGACGCTATGCCAACGCTGGTCTGGCCTTACAGATTGGTTTTAGAGTCCAGATAGAAGAACCCTAATCGGTTATAACCGATGATATCTCACTATATTTTCAAGGCTTTACCTCATAACCACAGTTGAAGGACCAAGAGCTCCGTTTCTACTCGTTGAAACTTCTCCGAGAGTTGGAACTTTATTCAACAACTCGTCTCTTTCTGCATTTTGATCAATTTTCATCGCTTTCTTTGACTGGCCAATAAAGATTTCCTGAAGCAATCTTTATTTGAATTCACTTTTCCCCTCACGATTATCTCCTCTTTAATATCTTTCCAATTTCCTCTCGAAGGCACTTCTTCCATCATCAACACTGTTTCCTGTCTCAACCTCTCATCATCACTCATCAAAGCCAATTCTTCAATGGTAGGCAAAACATAAAATGAATTCAATTTTTGTTTAAATAAGTCATTTACCGATAAATTCTTGTCCTGACCGCTCATCTTGAAATATATCTAAAAGCAGAATTAAAACTTTGAAATAAATATAAGAAAAATCAAATCAAATCGATGAAATCGAATCGAAATCTCATCCAAAACAATAAACTCAAAAATTTATTAAAGATTGCTTAATGGTGAAAATCCTGCATTTGCTGGGCTCGATTTCCGAATTTCTCTATTTCTTGGCCAGAGTCAGTCCTTTGATTCGATGGTGACCCTGGTTGGTGATAGGTTGTCGTTTGTGAATGCTCTTGATACTGTGAGGTCGTTCCATATGAGTCAGCTATAAAATGATGATTTACAAAGATTTTCTTATCAAATATTGGTTTACTGGCTTAGAGCTGTTTGCAGACTTTTGCAAAAGCTTCAGCAATTGTGTTATTTCAAAACAAAAGCTGAGGGCAAGCTTATTTGGTTTTTAATATAAAAAAACAATGTTAGTTATTAAGTCATTTCCTGCAAACCCTTGCCTGAATTGTCGAAGTTCCTTGAAAGCTTCGGGAAACAGAATATTTTCCTGGTCCCATCTTCCAGCGTCCTAAATGTCTCGGCTTGTCGTTGTTTCTCCTCCTTTTCTCTTTGCTCCCGTTCTTCCTCTTCTCGCTTCTGAATTGAATGCTTGGAAACTATTTTACAAAACAAAAAACATTTTTCTTTACGATGAACCACTCTTTTATATCGCTCAGTAAAAGGATGTGGGTCTCGGTCGGAACGCTTAACGGAAGATCTCTGCGTACTCGCTCGTACTCGTTCAGCGTGTCCCTCTCGCCGAAGCCATTGCGTGGCTGAAAAGTGGATTTCTTTGTCAAGATCCTTGTCATCTTTTTGAATATAAAATCTATGATTAGGACTGTAAACTACGGTTTAAGCTGGGCCACTGTCGGCCTGAACAAGTCCTCAGAACGTAACAAAGTCAAGCCAGGCCAGGCCCGGAACAATAGCTTTTATATTAATACTTTATTCATGTAAGGATTAAAAAGTGACAACGGAAAATGTCTTTGAAATAATTCTGGCTAGAATTTAGACTGTTATGAGTTTATTGACTAGTTGTACCGGTAATTATCGACTCACCAGGCAGTAAAAGAGAGACAACCATTTGTTGACGAGCACTTTCTCGAGCAGTCCAGGCAATTCCCCATATTTGTCATACTTGCAAAGAGTCCTCGAGAAAAAGTCGCGTTTACTTTTCGAGTATTCGATGAGTGCCGAGATTTTCGCAATGCTCAATGGGTCACACGCAAGCACATTGTTAAACTCCTAAACGTGCAAAATTTTTGAAATAACTTCAGGAAAGTAAGTTCTAGCATTTTCGACTATTGACTTATGGCAAATCGATGATGTACAGTAGTGGTCAAAAGTTTGAACACATCCATCCGCGCGAAATTAAAAGGCTCTGATCTCGTCGCTAGTTAATGTTATTCAACTAATTAAAAACTTATTCTGTGCCATTTTTTTGCTATTTCAACTCATTTTAGTTTATAGGTTCATTGTCTTTTCACTTTTTTTATATGCATTTCTTGAAATAACCTTCTTTTTGAGATGATCAAAAGTTTGGCCACGCTTTATTTTTACACTTTTGCTGACAGCTTTATGTTTATACACTCTGCAAAGATTATAGACGCACCCTGTTTTTTGCTAGTTTAGAGCCGGATATAAGTGCTAGTCCAGCTTGAGATGATCAAAAGTTTGAACACGCCTATGAAATAACAAAATTTATTGCCTTAAAAATAATAAGTCTTAATATTTAGGAGGGAAGCCTTAGCAGCGATTACAGGCTGACATTCACCGGCATCAATTCGATTAAACCCGCCAACGTGCTGTTAGAAAACAGTGGAATGAAATCTGTACCGTATTGTTCGTCGTGGACTCCCTCCATCAACTCTGATATTTTTGTGCATGTTTTTCAGCGAATTCGGCAATCCAATACCTCCAAAGATGTTTAAGTGGATTCAAGTCTGGGCTTTGAGCTGCCCACTTCAATATCTTGATTCCTTTTTCTTCTAGCCATTTCTGAACGATCCAAGAAGTGTGTTTTGGGTCGTTGTCTGGCATGAAAATCCAATCATCCGCCAAATTGTTGCGAGCATGTCAAAGTAGATCTGAGTTTAAAATGGCTCGACTTTCCACATGTTAAACTTGCTTTCATCGCTCCACAAAACACGTGCCCAATCATCGGTCGACTGATCCTGATGTCCTTGTCCAATCCAATTCTGAAGTTGTGTTCTGGGGGTTTGTAAGATCATAGTAGGAAGTGACGGCTTTGCAATAATTTGAAGCAGATTTGCAAGGAGCTTTCTTGATGCTTCTGAGGAAGATCGAAGTCTCTTTGACGTTTTTTGGTGGTCCTTGAATAGATTGACGCTTGATCGGGCCCGAACCTTTCCATTTGTGATAGATTTTGGTTGCAGCCGAGCAAGTAAGACGACAGATGTCGGCAGCTTTCTGACAGCTCATTCCACCATTCATTCCACGAGAAGCTCCTTGACCTCATCAGAAATGTTTTTAGCGACGCGACACATCTGTGATCATAAATATAAACAAAAGCAAGAGCGTAAACATAAAGCGTGGTCAAACTTTTGACTATCGCAAAAAGAGTCGTTGCAAAAAAATACATATAAAAAGGTAGAAAGTCACAATGAATCTATAACCTAAGATGAATTAAAAAAATAGGCAAAAAATGACACAGAATGTTTTTAACTAATAACATTAACTAGCGGCGAGATGACAGCCTTTTAAGTTCGCGCCGATGGATGTTTTCAAGCTTTTGACCACTACTCTAAATGTTACAAAGCTAGCAAATCCCTACAAACCTCAGCCAACAACTCGTTGAACACGTCTCCGACCTTTTGCGCACAAACTTCCTTCTTTGTCGACTAAATTCGGCTTTCACTATATGGTCAAAATCTGATCAACTCACATTTGATTTCCGTCGTTGCAGTACTTTGCGCTTGAGCTTTTGCGCGTCCGTCCAATTTGGGTCCTCCGTACGACGAATGATCTCATTCTAAAGTTAAAACAACCCAGTTTTTGGGAAATTTGTTTAAAACCGAATCCAAAAACAGTCAACGATATAATAGACAATATTTATTTGAGCAAAAGTTCAACATTTTTGAGTCTTTTCAAAATCATTCAATCATTGAGTGCTCAATAAACAAACCAAACCAAACACAAACCTCGTATCCCCGAACATTGACGTGAATTTCATGGTGTTCCAGCATGTACAGAGCGCACTCGGTGTGAAATTTGTGCACAAAGTACATCATGACTATCCAGTCGATTCGAGCCTCACACCACGCCGCATACTCCTGGTAGATCTCTTTGAAATGTCTCTGCTTTTCTTTTTCGTCATCGATTTGCTGAAACGTGACTTTTCTTTGCCCAAAATTGGCTCAACCTCTAGAATTGCTTTCAAAACGCCGAACTTGAAGTCCATCTCGCGGACAGCGTCGTCATTTAGCCGTGTCAAGACATATCGGTCGATCTCTGTGTCGGAGATTTCATCTGAAGTATGTTTATGACAATATTAGCTGTAAATTAAACCGTATTCTGATGAGTCAGGGCGTGGCAAGTTGATTGGCAATGAAGCACTAAATGACAACAATATTTTGGCTTTTTTGACCTACTTTGAAGTCTTGTTCTAACGATGTTATGCCAAAGCCAAAGGCCTTACAATCAGATTGGTTTTAGAGTCCAGATAGAAGAATCCTAATCGGTTATAGCCGATGATGTCTCACTATATTTTCAAGGCTTTACCTCATAACCACAGTTGAAGGACCAAGAGCTCCGTTTCTACTCGTTGAAACTTCTCCAAGAGTTGGAACTTTATTCAACAACTCGTCTCCTTTCGGATTTTGCTCAATTTTCATCGCTTTCTTTGACTTCTCATCAATGATTTCTTCAATCATCAAGACTGTTTCCTGTCTCAATCTCTCATCATCACTCATCAAAGCCAAATCTTCAATCGTAGGCAAAACCTAAAATTAATTCAATTTTTGTTTAAATAGTCATTTACCGATAAATTCTTGTCCTGATCGCTCAACTTGAAATATTTTTAACTAGAAGCAGAGTTAAAACTTGGAAATAAATGCAAGAGAAATAAAATCAAATCGAAATCTCATCCAAAACAATAAACTCAAAAATTTATTAAAGATTGCTTAATGGTGAAAATCCTGCATTTCCTCGGCTCGATTTCCGAATTTCTCTATTTCTTGGCCAGAGTCAGTCCTTTGATTCGATGGTGACCCTGGTTGGTGATAGGTTGTCGTTTGTGAATGCTCTTGATACTGTGAGGTCGTTCCATATGAGTCAGCTGTAAAATGATTATTTACAAAGATTTTCTTATCAAATATTTATTGACTAAATTTTAGAACTGTTTTTAGATTTTTTACTGGCTAAAGTCTAGAACTTTAACAATTGTATTATTTGAAAACAGAAAGCTAAGGGCAAGCTTATTTGGTGTTTAGATAATGGTTTGATTGGTATGAAATGTAACTATTTTTCCGATTCTTGAAACTTGTAAACAAATAAAGTCAAGAACACTTTTCTAAAAACAATGAAACCGGGTTTCCTCACTTTTTGTTATTTCGAAATTTTGTCAACTTTTGGCTATTGGAATTCGGCCACTTGGACATCTGTGACACGTTATATTGTACGAATTTCTACAAGAACATAATGGCCTCTAGTGTTCAGCTAATATTAAAAATGTGGAAGGAGTAGCTCTCCCCATCCCGATCAAGCGCGGGGTCCGCCAAGGAAACACCATCTCGCCCAAGCTCTTCACCACGGTTCTCCAGTATGCCATGAAAGACCTCGAGTGCATCAGGCGACATTGTGCTCTGCGCCAAGACACCAAAAGAAGCCCAACGGATGCTAGAAGACCTCGACCGAGTCAGCAAGAAGATTTGCCTCGAGATGAACAAGAAAAAGACTCAGAGCATGAGGAACGCATGGTGCCTACCTGGAGAGATCAAGCTGGAAGGTCAACCACTAGAATAAGTCACCTCCTACACCTACCTCGAAAGAAGCCTCAACATGGAGGGAGACCTAAGACCAGAAGTCGCCAGAAGAAGACGAGCGGCCTGGGCAGCACTAGGAAGCATCAAAGAAGTCACAAAGATACTCAAGAACCACCAGAGGACCCGGGCACACCTCTTTGACAGCACCGTCCTCCCGGCACTCTGCTACGGGACAAAGACCTGGGCCACGACACAGACCACCGAACGAGCCGTGAGAACGACGCATCGAGCCCTTGAAAGGAACCTCCTCGGGTACAATAGGAAGACGCAGCTCGACCAAGACCTAAGAAGCACGGATATGCGCCAGCTCTTGGGACTCAGAGATCCAGTGGAAGTGATCGTGAGAAAAAGACTCAGATGGGCCGGACACATAGCCAGAAGAACAGACGACAGGTGGACGATAAGGATGACAGAGTGGCTACCACGAGACCAGAAGAGGCCCATCGGAAGACCAGCAACGAGGTGGACCACAAGACTGGCAGGGACGGTCTGAGAAAGGATGGCTAATGGGGTTGAAAAAAAAACTCAATGGGGGTGATGACCCATCCTGCATACAGCCCTAGTCTTACGCCTTCTGATAACTACTGATTCCGAGTGATGAGCAATGATTTGATCAATAAACGTTTGATTTCGAATATGATGCGTTAAACAGTGGCTTACGGATTAATTCGCATTAAAACCAAAAAATTTTCTACAAAAAAGGCATCTGGTCTTTGCCAATACAATGAACTCTAATTATCCAAAATAATGGAAAATATTGATAATGATTACTGTAAAAGTCTGAATAAATCAGTTGTTTATTTTTAGCGACACTTCATACCCATCAACCCAATAACAATGTTAGTTATTAAGAAACTTCCTGCCTGAATTGCCGATGATTGGAAGCTCCAGCAAAGAGAATCTTTTCCTCGATCTGTTCCCATCTTCCAGCCTCCTCAATGTCTCGGCTTCTCGTCGTCTTTCCTCATTTTCTCTTCGCTCCCGCTCTACCCGTTCTCGCTCCTGAATTCAATTCTTGGAAACTATTTTACAAAACAAAAAACATTTTTCCATATGTTGAACAACTCTTTTATATCGCTCAGGAAAGTGATGTGGTCGCCGGGCGGAACGTTTAACGGAAGATCTCTGCGTACTCGTTCGTACTCGTTCAGCGTGTCCGACTCGGCGAAGCCAATGCGTGGCTGAAAAGTGGATTTCTTTGTCAAGATCCTTGTCATCTTTTTGAATATAAAATCTGTCATTAGGGCTGTAAACTAGGCCAGGCCAGGTTTAAGCTAGGCCAATGTCAGCCGCAACTAGTCCTCAGAACGTAGCGAAGTCAAGCCAGGCCAGGCCCGGAAAAATCACGACTTTATTCATGTAAGCATGAAAAAGTGACAACGGAACATGTCTTTGAAATAATTCTGGCTAGAATCCAGACTAGTATGGGTTTCTTGATTGATTGGACCGGTAATTATCGACTCACCAGGCAGTAAAAGAGAGACAACCATTTGTTGACGAGCACTTCCTCGAGCAGTCCAGGCAATTCCCCATATTTGTCATACTTGCAAAGAGTCCTCGAGAAAAAGTCGCGTTTACTTTTCGAGCATTCGATGAGTGCCGAGATTTCCGCAATGCTGAATGAGCTACACTCGATCATATTGGGAAACTCCTGAAAATTCAAAAGTTTCGAACTAATTTCAGGGAAGTATGTTCTTCACTAGCATTTTCCGTTGGCTTATTGACTTGTGGAAAATCCATGATGTAAGTGACACTAAAGCTAACAAATCTAACACAAACCTCAGCCAACAAATCGTTGAACACATCTCCGACCCTTTTCGCACAAATTTTCTTCTTTGTCGGCTAAATTCGGCTTTCTCTATTTAACCAATCTGATCAATCCACCTTCGTTTTCCGTCTGTGCAACACTTTTCGCTTGAGCTTTTACGCGTCCGTCCATTTTGGGTCTTCCGTACGACGAATGAGCTCATTCTAAAGTTGATATAGCAGCTTCGTTTGATAATTTACATGACTGTATCGAGATTTTAGATTAGACTTTTTTAAGCCTTTTTTTCAAAATTGTGAGCCTGCAGAAAATCCAGGTCCTGGCTTTGATTCTGGTCTGTCTCCGGCCTGGTCATAAAAAAAATTGGTTCATGAGCTAACAACTGTAAGCCAGGGTCCGGGTTCACCATCCGCAAGATCGCAAGATTTTGGACACAAGTCTGGTTCATAAACAAAACTTGCGAGTTCGCAAGTTCGAATGCCTATGTGAAGTCGCAAGTTGCAAATCCCAAGTCGTAAGTCACAACTCGCAGGTCCCAAGTTCGCAAGTTTGCAAGTTGCACTACTGGATCTCGCTTTGCTGCAGACCCAACTCATAACGCTCCTGACAGACCTGTCTGTAAGCCCGTTAGAAGCCTGACCTGGCCTGGCCCGGTTGAAATAACCCAATATCCGGAAATGGATTCACAACGAATCCAAAAACAGTCAAAGATATAATAGACAATATGCATTTGAGCAAAAGTTCAACATTTTTGAGTTTTTTCAAAAACATCCAATCATTGAGTGCTCAATGAACACATACCTCGTATCCCCGAACATTGACGTGAATTTCATGGTGTTCCAGCATGTACAGAGCGCACTCGGTGTGAAATTTGTGCACAAAGTACATCATGACTATCGAGTCGATTCGAGCCTCACACCACGCCGCATACTCCTGGTAGATCTCTTTGAAATGTCTCTGCTTTTCTTTTTCGTCATCGATTTGCTGAAACGTGACTTTTCTTTGCCCAAAATTGGCTCAACCTCTAGAATTGCTTTCAAAACGCCGAGCTTGATGTTCATCTCGTGGACAGCGTCGTCAACTAGCGTTTTCGAGACATATCGATCGATCTCTGTGTCGGAGAATTCATCTGAAGGATCTTTATGACAATATTAGCTGTAGATTAAACCGTATTCTGGTGGGTCTGGGCGTGGGAAGTTGATTGGCAATGAAGTACTAAATGACAACAATATTTCGGTGACTTTCGTTGCTTTTTGTTTTTTTAACTATGATCTTCTAAAGCGGGACTTTTGCGTCGTTTTCCCGTCAAGATAAATGCGAATTTCTCCATTTTGTCTCTAGTTGTCTCTCTAGTACTCGGAAAACAGTATAAATGGCTTTATTAGGTTTATCTTCATTCATTCTAGCTCGAGTTTATTCAAAAACCATCTAAAATCTA